TTTGTGTTTGTCATTTTGGCAAATTACTGGAAGATGGTGGTTCTGGCCAAAAGGCAATAAGCAAGCTTTCAAAAAGAAAGAGAAAATACAGTTTAAGAGGTATATTTATACTAGCACTATAAAATAGAATGCACACAATAATTAACAAAAAAGTATAAGCCATTTATGGGCAATATTCTTAAATTTAATGAAAATATATCACCATAAATATAAATAAATTATGAACTACATAATACTTTAAGAGAAATTCAGTATTTTTTATTTATTTTAATTTTATTATTATTATTATTATCATTATTATTATTTTAATTTTGCTATAGGGCACATGTGCTCACCAGAGAGAAACAGAAGAGTGGAGGGAGTGAGAAAGCAAGCTACCAGGTCCAGGACTCATATCATGGTCAGCCATGTGGGAGTACAGTGCCTTACCCACCACACTACCTGCTGGTCCCAAAATTCTGTACCTTAAAATTCTCATTTTTTCCAAGTTTAATGTTATTATATGAAGTCCTGATGGCATGTTTTCATAAAACTATATCAGCTGATTTTCACATTTGTATCAAAGATCTAAAGTCCAAGGACAGCCAAGACATTCCTGTGGATGTAGTTCAAAGGCATAGAAGTTTCTGAAGAATTGTTACAGTGATACAGTAATGAAGTCAGAGCAATGCTGGTGCAGACATCAGCAAGAAGACAAGTGGAAGAAAACAGAGAGCCTGTGAACAAACACACGCTCAAAATGGAAACTTGATGTACCAGACTGCATCACTGCAGATCAGTGGAAAGGATAAACTAAGAAACTGCACAGAGACTATGATTATGTGTGAGCACGAGAATTGTATTTAATTCTTCACTAAAAGTAATTCCAGGTGAAATAAAGATTTAAAGAGCCGAACTAGAAACCTTTCAGAAGCAACATAAGGGAGTATGTTTATGGATTTGGGATATAAAGAAGTGTTTTGTTTTTTTTTTAAGAAAACACACAAAGCACAAACCTTAAAAGAAAGAATTGATCTGGGACCAGCAGTTAGCGTAATGGCTATGTCACTGAACTCCCATATAATCAACCACGGTTCGAGTCCCGGACCTGATGACTTATACTCACACCGGGTGCATATGCATGCATGCGCAAGGTCCTAAGAGGAGAATGGAGGAGACGGGATTGCAGCGTGGCCATCCCCTCTGGGGGGTGATTTCTTGCTTTCTGTCTCTATGTCTCTCTCTGTCTGTCTGGCGAGCGCACGCGCCCTATAGTGAAAAAAAAAAAAAAACCTCTCAAAAAAAAAAAAAAGAAACAAGGAAGTGAAAAGCCTTGAGCCAGGTGAAGATTTCTGAAATGCAATCAATAAAGCCTTTGCATCTAGCAAATATAAATACTCCTTTTATGCCAAGTTTTTAAAGGGCAACCAACCAAACATGAAAGGAAAAAAGTGATGAATGAGCATTGCACAGAAGAGAACACATGAGTGGTCCAAACGGCTAAGATGTTCCTCTGTTTGGTAATCAGAAGAATGCAGATTAAATCCAAAATGAGTTCCTATTTTATGCATAACAGTTTGGTAAAATGTAAAAGGTATACAACATCAATTGTTGGCAAAATAGCGGGTCAACTGGGCCTCTAACCATGGTTAGGAAAGAGGACATTGGTACGGACATTTGAAAACATTTTTTTACACTAAAGAGTAACGTTATCCATGTACATGCATGCTCTTGTCCTTCCCAACTCCATCGTCAGGTATATTTGGCTGAAAAGAGTTTTGTGGCAGATATACAAGATTCTGATATCCTAAGCCCTGATAAGGCCTGGGACGGCCATAAATTTCCCTATTATAACCAACACTCCATAAGCAGGATTCTCCAAGTCTCACAGAGGGGTCGAGACAGAGCTCACACAAGGGTGATGAACAAAGTAGATGGTGACCACTGCCCCACAAGGACAACAGTGTCATCTTGGACACAGGGCCAGTGCCCCAGGAGCACTGTCCAGGGCCCAGCACATAGCCACTGGCTGTCAGAGGCTGAGTAAGGGAGGATGGATGAAGTCCTCCCCGTTTCAGCTCCCAATGATGGCTCCAGGTCTCTAACCATTCCCCATGCATACCACATGCTTCTGTCTGTTTGCACTGGCTGTACACTCAGTAGCACCCAGGACAGCTCCAATGAGCCGCAGGTACACCCTGCCCTGCCTGCACACGAAAGCTACAGCACCATCATCATCTTTGACGGACTTGATACAAAACTGCTCACCGGATTTTGAAACATATTTGCATTAGGACAAGTCATTTCAGTATTGCATTTGTCAGTAAAAGAAAAGAGTTACTAGATCCTATCATTATTATACAATTTCAGAGTTGAAGAACATAATGTTCATTTCATATTACCTACCTGTGCAAAATTTCTCCTACAGGGTGACTGTCAGAAACTTGAAGAAATTCACATGAAAAACTTCACTATAAATCATACATATAGCCTGATGTAAAGCAATATTTATAGAAACAGGCTCTTTATTTTCCTTAAAACTTTGAAAATCATTTAATTCACTTTATTATTGCTACCATAACTATGTAACATCAGTAAAAAGTAATGTACATTCCATGAGCACACATAGAAATACACAATGAGGACCAGCAGGTGGTATAGAGATTAAGGTGCCTGGATTCCATATGGCCAACTGTACAGTTTGAGTCCTGGACCTGGAGTCTTGAAAAAAGGCTAGGTGAGTGTGCATACATGCCCAAACTCCTGAGAGAAGAATGGAGTAGAAGGGATTTCGGCATAGCCATCCCCTAGGGGAATGATTTCTCACTTTCCCTCTGTTTCTGTTTCTCTCAGGCAATTGCACTCACCCTATAACAAAAATAAACAAAACAAACAAACAAAACTTAAAAATAAAACACACACAGATTCCAGAACAGTTTATGTAATGTGATCTACTAATAGAGTCATCGTTTTCTATGAGCTTCATGACATGAAAAAGATCAGGAATTTCTGCTAACTACTGCACCAGGATACACATCAGAGTTTTCTTGAGAGCACTGTTCATCACAGCAAAAACCTAGAGGCTGAAACCTGAACAATGTTCATTACCAGTGGAATAAATGGTGGAATATCCATACTCTGAAATACGATGCAACAAAGCATAAATAACAACCATTTGCATTAATACAGAGGAAACTCAACACCCTGATCAAAGAAACAAGTCACAGAAAAATATATGTGATATAATCCTGTTCATGTAAAACCCAAAAAACAAAACTAAACATCACTTAGGCATTGATATGTAGGTGGCAAAGTTAAGAAGAAACACATGGAGAAATTAAGAGGTAGGAGAGAGATTCAACAGGGGTGGGACAACGGTGACTCTCTAAAGACATGGTGATATATTTCTCCTGTTAGATGGTAGATACACAAATATACTTGATTATTTAAATCTGTGTGTAATTCATTTTATAATTCAATAAACAGAGAAACAAAATTAGAGGCTTTTACATTTGCCTGCAGTTCAGTTAAAAAGGGGACACAGGATAGAGAGCTGTGGGGGAGTGTTTGGCTAGCAGGGAAGCAGTGAAGAGAGAGTAAGACTAGAATAGAGATGCATGTTGAAGTCAATTATTTCAAGATAAATTATTTAATGACTTCTTTACTGAGTTCAGCATAAGCTCTAATCACCTTTGCCCTAAGTTCTGAGAATTTCAATTTACATGTTGATAATGACTCCTCGAAGCACACTGTTCTGAAGGAACATGCAATTTTAGAGAAATAAGTCTGTTACCAAAATTCATTCTGCATCTAGCCATCCAAACACTCAACCGTGGGAGAGATGGCCTTAAAATGTATCAGCACTTAAAAGATAAATCAGGTGAAGAAATGAACTTCCAAGCAAGTTGAGAAAGGGCATTTCTAATGTATAATTTACCCTATATAAACTTGTGTATTTATCTACATCCTTCCACCATTCTGCACTTTCATGACGTCTATCATCTTAGCACTGGGGCCATTAGACGGAGATATTAGATTGGGAGAAAACTGTTAAATAAATGTGGCTTTGGAGAGCCTAATGAAATGTACTTTCCATACACAACAGTCCCTCAGAGGAAAGAATCTCCATTTCACAGGATGATTGATGTGCACCCTGAAGTTAAGTCTATGTCGGATTTTTTGGCGCTGAGTAAACTCATTTAATCCTATATTTATTAAGTGTAGGTTAATAATTTCTGACAGTTTTACATGACGGCCACAGTACAGTGCAAGGGAACAGAAGAAATTGCTTCTAGATGGTACACTATAATTCAGCAATTGTAGTACTTTGGGAAAGCCGTCCACCTTAACAACCCCATGTATAATGCCTACACCACTGACCCTAGGGTTTGTGTGAGTTTCAAATGGTTTATTACATGAAAAAATGAACAGGTGGTGAAAAAAACTCAAACCAATTAAAACTGGGCAGTCAAATACACTTAAATTCTGACACCTCTAAACAAAATTCCTGGATGAGTTCTTTACACTTTGGAAAAGCCAACCAATATCCAAGAAGTGAAAACTATTAAAGATTCTTGTGGTGGCCAGTTATCTCAGCTGGTTAGAGCATGGTGCCAATAACACCAAGGTCATGGGTTCAATCCCCGTATGGGCCAAGTCTCTGGGACCAGCAGGTGGCATGGTGGCTAAGGTGCTGGACACTCCCACATGGCCAACTGTGGTTCGAGTACCAGACCTGGTGGCTTGTTTTCTCACTTTCCCTCTCTCTCTGTGTATCTCTCTCTGGTCAAATTAAAATAAATGAATGAATAAATAAAATTAAATAAATAATTTTTTAAAAAAAGATTCTTGTGACCCTTCCAAAACAAAATCAGATTCATACTTAGGTTGACAACATGGCTAATTTTGCTGAAACCATATCCATATTTTGTCAAATGGGAGGGAACCATGGGAGAAAGGTGCAATGACATAGAGCCTCATTCATGTTTCTAGTGAGTTCAATTCTGACTCTCTCTTCTGAATAGAATCAACACAAACAGATAGCATAGCAGTTATGTCACTAGACTCCCACATGGCCAACTGCAGTTTGAGTCCTGGACCCAGTGGTTTGAAACTCGTACTGGACACATGTGTGTGCATGCCCAAGATCCTGGGAGAATGGAGAAGGGATTACAATATAACTATCCCCCATGGGGGGTGATTTCTCACTTTCCCTCTCACTCTCTCTCTCTCTCTCTGGTGAGTGCACACTCCCCAAGGCAAAAACCTTTAAAAAAAAAAAAAAGAAAAAATAGAATTCAATACACAATACAATAAAATACAGGGGGAAATCTGTGCACAGAAATATTCACTGCAGCATGATGTATAATGCAAAAATCAAGAAAAGGGGGTGGTAGAAATAAGTCAAATGTGGAGTAATCAATGATTTATGAACACATATCATGTGCCAACCGCTACCCTGAGTACTTACCTGTATTTTCTTATTTGGTCTTCACACCTGCTCTTTTGAGATACTTATGACCAGCCCCATTTGCAGAAAAGGAAACTGAAGTCCTGAGATAGTAACCCTCAAGCAATTTGTTTAGAATGCATGTGTAGACTAAGACTATTTCACTCTACTGTGAATTCTTTTTTTAATGAATATTTTTATTTTACATGACAATTAAAGCAATGTAATTTTTCAGTGTACAAATACAATATGTAATGATTACATCAGGGTAATTAGTATACCCCATCAGCTCAACCATTTGTAACATTATATACTATAAGCTGTTGTCAACCACATCCTCCCCCCTGTTTCCACTATACTCCTCAAAATGTAGACTAAGTGAGACTACATGAAGTGTGCCGATATGCGGGGTATCTACTCTTTGCCCATCCACCTCCATTCCCCCCTCTTCTTCATCTGCTTTCAGTCCAGAGGCCAACCTGTGTGAGATGCACCCCATTCTCCTGGCTGCCAAGTGGTGAAAGACTAGAAGGAGAGACAGTGAAGTCAGAATATTTGGTTAAGGGCTCAACCCAATGTCTGAACCGAACTGTCTGGAGATGCTCTTTCTCCAGCATCCTGAAACTATTTCCACACTTCACTCATTCAGTTGCAACACCACCTTAACCAGCTCAGGACACTGCACTAACCACTGTGGCTTTTCTACATCTTTTGACTTGCTTAAATATTATTATTATAAAACCCTTTTCTATTACAGACCTAGTGTGAGTCATTAGTACATATGCAGATCCTGAATGTACAGGGAAATAGTAGATAGGAAGGATCAAGTGGACCAGAGCTGGGGTGAGGACTTCCGTCAGCACCATGATATTCCATGTGGTTTTTGCACAGCCAAGTCGATATCAAATGGGTTTATTGTTCTCTTATGCTCTGATCCAAACAGGGTGTGTCACATATATTACCTGCACTTAAGGAGTTGATATTCTTTTTTTTTTTTTGGGATTTGATTTTTTTATTTTAGAGACAGAGATGAAAAAAA